CATTTCTCCATGCTTTTTCTATTTTCAGCCCTCTGCTGTTCGGTTTGTTTTTTAAATTGTCTTGTAACCGTTTGATCATTTTGGGACTCGTCCTTTTCATTGTATAACCAGTATGTTCATTAGGATTGTTTACATTTAATCTAAGTGCTATTAGTCTTTTTGTCCCTTAAACCAACACTGCCACCCTGTGTATGACTTTTTCCTTGCAATGACGGGACAAAGTCAAGGAAATGTTTTATAACTTGTTTACTTAAAAGATGACTAATAAAATGTCAAAAAGATTTTTTTCTGTTTGTTTTTGGGGCGGTGTAACAGACTCTTCTTGGCACGTCTCAATTCCCTGCGTCTCTGTAGACCTGAAAGGGGCATTATTGCGAGGACAGGTACCCGTGTTAGCAATCATGTCTGTGAAGAGTTCCGGCTGGAACCAGCCGTGGGTGGGAAATGACATGTGTTGGAAGAAACAATTTACAGGGGCCCATTTTATTGGAGTGGGGCTTGTTTCAGGGGAATGTAGGAATGGTTGGAGGGGCTGCTGAGAGGTTTGGGGAGGCAAGATTGGTGTGGGCTAAATCTGCGTCGTGGACAAAATGGCAGTAATGAGATGCAGGTCCACTCGGGCTGTGTAAATTCCAACCCGGTGACTAAGCACAAGTTATTTAGCTTTTCTTAGCTTTATTTGCCTCCTTTTAAAGTAAAGCATTTTGGGTCCTGCTGTGATGTGTGGGTCGAGAACCTCCTAGGTAGGCTGAGGCCACATAGTCCAATCCCAACCCACTGCAAATTGCACCCCTGAGTGGCACACCCCTGTAGGCCCCAGCTGCCCTGGAGGCTGAGGCAGGACAATCATGACACTGAGTCCTTGTCCTTTATTTTCTTAAGCATATTTTGTCTGAATAGCCTCACTTCAAAAGTTTCAAGACCATGTTGAGCAGAAAGTGAAGTGGACGAGCAACATCTTAGCAGCAGTTGCCTGAGTGGGGCCTAGCGTGTGGGGATGCAGCCGTGAAGAAGGGGTGGGCCAGGCACTCTAGACAGTCCGGTGTCATCTCAGCAATCCTCGTCGCGCCTCCCTCAACTTTAGGTCTTCTAAAACTTCCGTCACCATTCAGCATGCAGAGGTGGCTGCGTCCTGGCTAAGTTTAGCAAGGAGTGATAGTTTGGGCCCTGAAGTTCTCTCCCCACTGCCTGAAGCCTCTTGGTGTTTAGTTGTTGCCGTGTGAGTCTAAGTGACGGTGTTACCCCAGATTTAACAATCCTTTTTTTCCTTCCTTATGGACAATTTAAAAACGATAATATAAAGCCAGGGCACTTTTTGAGGAAGGAGGAGGGGGAGAAGATGCATAGCAGAGAGCTGGATGGATCAAGGTCACAGGGTTTCCTCTCACAGCCCTCCCCACGGAGTTCTTAATTACATTTTCTTCAAGACTTATTTTATTTAACTTTATATATTTTTTAAAATTTTAATTTGACCAGAGTAGGACCGAGTAAGAGAAAGCGAGAAAGCCTCCGGGTCCGGGACTTGAACTGCAGTTGGCCATGTGGGAGCCCAATGCCCTTAAGTACCACACCACCTGCTGGCTCCATTTAAAAAAAAAAATAGAATGATTTACTTAATTTTATTTAATATTTTAAAATTTGCTGTAGGGCACATGCACTGGCCAGAAACAGCAAGAATGGGGGAAAGCCAGGGTCTTTAACTGTGGTTGGCCGTGTGGGAGTTCAGTTCCTCAACCAGCATGCCACTTGCTGGCCCTATGCATCTTTAGCATCACCTCTAGCCTGAGAAAATCCCAACCTGCTTCTTCCCCAGAACTATCTGGAAATATCTACTCCAAAGTCAAACAGATTCAAGTTCCAAGTTATGCCAATACACTAGGAAAAATAATAACACATTTTAGGAATGACCAAGTACAGGAATTCCTCCTTGGAGGCTTATAAGGGAAAAAGAATAGTATATACTGGAGCCGGCAGGTTGCGTGGTGGTTAAGGACGCTAGACTCCCATACGGCCAACCATGATTCTAGTCCTGGACCTGGTGGCTTGCTTTCTCATTTTTCCTCTTTCTCGCTTTCTGTCCCTCTCTGGTCAAATTAAAATAAATAAATAAATAAATAAATAAATAAAGTTAAATAAAAAATAATCCTTTAATGAATAAAAAAGAATAGTGTATAGTAAGAAATTCTTGGGTTCCTGGGCCAATTTTCAAAACCCGATTTACTTGTAAGAGAGGTGAACTATAGTAACTGTTCTCTGACCACACACATAATAATTGCAGTTTAACTGGTGTAGTAATAGGAATTGGGGCTTTCTTTCTTTCTCTCTCTCTCTCTTTTTTTTCCAGTGGGGGAATATGTAAGTGATACAGTTCTTTTTTTAATTTTTATTTAACTTTTAAATTTAATTTAAATTTAAATTTTATTTAACTTTATTTATTTATTTATTTTTGAGAGGTTTTTGCTATAGGGTGCGTGCACTCGCCAGAACGACAGAGATAGAAAGCGAGAAATCACCCCCCAGGGAGGATGACCACACCACACTCCCTTCTCCTCCATTCTCCTCTTGGGATCTTGGGCACGCATGCACTAGTGCCTTGGTGTGAGTTTAAGCCACCGGGTCCAGGACTCGAACTGCAGTCGGCTACATGGAGTCCAGCGACATAGCCATTACACTAACTGCTGGTCCCCCTGTGTATGTATTTATGTATTTATTTATTTTATTTTGATCAGAGATGGACAGAGTGAGAGAGAGAGAAAGGGAAAGTGAGAAAGCAAGCTGCTAGGTCCAGGATGTGAACTGCGGTCGGCCACATGGGAGTTCAGCACCCTGGATCACCACACCACCCACCAGCCCCCATCTCTCCTCTCTTTCACAAGCTAGGCAGTAGATGTAACAAATCCTTTTTGCTTCAAGCCAATAAAAAACATTTGTCAAAACTAAAAACGTTCAGATGTGGGCCAGCTAGTGACATGGTGGTTAAGGTGGCTGGATTCCATGGGACCAGCAGTTAGAGTAATGGCTATGTCGCTAAACTCCCATGTAGCCGACCACGGTTCAAGTCCCAGGACTGATGGCTTAAACTCACTCCGGGTGTGTGTTCGTGCGTGCTCAAGATCCCCAGAGGAGAATGGAGGAGAAGGGATTGTGGCGTGACCATCTCCCCTGGGGGGTGATTTCTCGCTTTCTATCTCTGTCGTTCTGGCGAGTGCACGCACCCTATAGCAAAAACCTCTCAAAAATAAATAAATAAATAAAGTTAAATAAAATTTAAATTAATGGCCTCCTGTTTTGTTTTTTTTTAAGAAATAATTATTTTATTTCATTCATTACCATCATTATTATTTGTTTAATTTGACCAGAGAGTGACAGGAAAGTAGGAAAGCAAGACTTCAGGTCTGAGACTTGAACCTTTGCTGACCATGTGGGAGTCAAGCGCCTTAACCACCCATGCCATGTGCCAGCCCCATACAATGGCCTCCTTCTAAATGTTATTCTAATGCTTACTGTGCCTAAGTTAGGTGACTCAAAAAGACTGATTTTTTAGATTTTTTTTTTTTATGGTTTGGAACCCAAAGCCATTCTATTGTATGTGACTCACTCACAAAAAAATGAAAAATATGCCAACACCACCAAACAATATCCCCATTTCAAAATGGGGAGGTGGGGGGGGAGGGCCTGGGAAGGCGGAACTGGAGGGACAAACCAGCTGAGTTGATGGTCAGAGGCCAGGAGCAAATGAATAGGCAAGGTCTGGGAAGGAGGGAAAACGGAGAGGCTAGGGCCCGGCTTTACTGCCCATCCCCGGTTCGGTTCCCTTCGTCTCCCTGTGACATATGGCACTATTCCAGACAACGGGACACATCCACCCGATTCCAGTCAATTCCCAGGCCACCTACTGCTCGTAAACCCCAGTTGAAACCCAGAGCAGTTGTTTCATGGGCATAGGTTTTGTTTTGAAAGATGAGAAAGTTCTGGAGATCCGCTGCACAACAATGTGAATATATTCAACACTAATGAGCTACACACTTTTAAAAATATTTTATTTACTTATTTATTCATTCTTTTTTTTTTCTTTTTTGGAGAGGTTTTACTACACACTTTAAAAAATTATTTATTTATTTATTCATTCTTTTCTCTTTTTTTGGAGAGGTTTTGGCTATAGGGTGCGTCCCCTAGCCAGAAAGAGAGAGACAGAAAACAAGAAATCACCCCCAGAAGGGCCACGGCGCAACCCCTTCTCCTCCATTCTCCTCTCCAGATCTTGGGCACCCATGCACACGGGCCAGGTCCGGGACTCCAACCGTGTTCGACTACATGGGAGTCCAGCGACATAGCCATTACTCCAACTGCTGGAGTCTCATTCACTTATTTTAATTTGACCACAGAGAGAGACATACAGAGAGAGAAGGAAAGTCACCAGGTCTGGGCCTCGAACTGTGGTCAGCCATGTAGGAGTGTCCAGCGCCTTAACTACCATGCCACTACAGTAACGCATTTTTTAAAAGACATCAAATTGTATATGAAATATACACAGTCTATAGTGTCTCCAGTTACAGCTCTAGAGTTGCTTCAAACCAAACTCGCAGCTCTAATGTGCCTGACAGGTGTGTGGGCTCCGAGGGGAAACGAACTCCGAGTTCGCAGGCGGAACGGACCGGGACCCGGGACGACAGGGGAGGAGCCGCCAGCGGGAGCTGCGCTGGGGAGCCGGAACGGCCAGGAGGGGGCGCCCGAGCAGCGCCGAGCTCGCGGGGTCCTGCGGCCGAGGCGTGCTCCCTCCCGCCTGCCAGCCAGATTAGCAATTTTTTATTTTTCAAAGTTGACAAAACACCCCAAGTATTTGCTCAGAAGAGTATGAAATATCCGCTCATGGCCCCTTTTCATTTCGTTCTATTCGCGTTAGGGTGGACGATGGCAAGGCTGCCGCGCGCCAAGGCAGGCACAGGAGAAGACAGCTATGCCCGTCAGGACCCCGGCCGGGCGCGGCCATAAATACTCTGGTCCCACCCTCGTGTTTCCCTTCGGACAATGGGGTCTGCGCTGGTCGGCAGGTACTTCTCGCGGTCGGCCCGGGCCCCTGCGGCGGAGCCGGTCGCGCGGTCATGGCGCAGCAGCCCTTCCTGGTGCAGGTATCTCGGGGCCTGCTGGGGAGGGGCCGCGGCCCGGGCTGGGGAGGATGAGGTTCCAGTACAGACTAGAGTTTCTGAGGTCTCGGTGATGCCACTGCTTGACACTGACCCAGCCCGGGGAGGAGGGCACTCGGCCGGAGTGGTCCCGGCCTCGCCTGACGCTTCGGTTTCTTCCTAGGTCTCTGGTCCCCCGGGCGCGTCCGCAGGCGGCCACGAGGGTGAGTCGGTCAGAAGAGGGAGTGGCGGCCACCCTGGGGGAAGGGGCTGATGATGACCCCAGGTGATTCTGAGTGTCTCGCTGACGCCATCACCGCAGCGCGCTGACCGCCTCCGGCCCCCTCGGGCTGGGATGGGATGCCTCATGCAGGGTTCGGGGAACTTGGTGGTCAGGAACCCTTGTTAATCTTTGATTTCTGTGTCTCCTTCTCCCAACTAGGGGTCTTAAGTCCCCCCGATGTCCTGTTCTCGAGTGAAGGTGAGTGTTAGGTACGAGAGCGTTGGGCGCCTCTCACAGACGATTTTGTTCCAAGCTCTTACATGACCACGGTGCAATCTTACCTTTCAGTCACCTCTGGAGATTTTGGGCATGCACCCACACATACACACACACACACACACTTGATGTGCATTTCAAGGCCCAGGAGTCCAACGACCTAACCGCTACACCATCTGCTGGCCCTGGGGGTGTTTTCAGCCCTTGATTTAAGATTTGAACCAGTGGGTTCATGGTGTGCCATTCAGCTGCCTTAGCCACCATGCTACCAGCTGGCCTGTGAATAGTGCTGTTTATATTTTTGTAATCCACATTTTAAAAACTGGTTAACCCACCTCCACTCCTGTTTGTTCTCTAAAGTGAGTGCATGTGGGATCATCTAAGTGGAGCTGTTTTCCTGCAGTTCGGAGTTTACTTCGTACTTTCTCTTCTTTTGCTCTTAAACTTCCCATCCCTGGGCTTCTCGTTTGATAGATCTCGGGCAAATAATTTGTCTTGATCCTGGTCTCCCTAAATTTGGAATGATGATTTCACAGACTAGAGTCTCTGATGCTGGTTCTGATGCCAAATGCAAGTTCTGACCCATTTAGGGAGCCGGATCGTTAGGTCTTGAGAAGGGCAAGAAGGAGGACCAGAACACTGGTAGTTCTCATTGGCTGTCTCATTTTAATCTTTCAGCATGAGACCTGGAGGCTCACCAGTCGGGCAGTGCCCTTTCCCAGAGGTGCCGTGCTGAGCGCCCGAGAGCCTAAGGTTTAAAATCTACCCATTCTGAGATGTGCTGTTGGCGTGGCTCCGATGCTAGGCGATGAGAGCTGTGACAGGTGGAGAGCAAGCCGTTTCTCCTAGGAGACTGGTGAGTGTCCTTTGGGCTCCTCATCCCAGGGTGGTAATGATGACCTGGTTGGACTAGAGTCTCTGAGCTTTTTGTGAAGATCTCTGAAACCATCTGAC